GTAATCATATCTATTACAAACTAATATACTTGCATCCTAACAGAATCTGGCAATCGAGAGCGCGAGTTTCCCTCAAATCTGGTGTTCCAAAATGCAATCGCTCACATGACCATATCTGCAACAAAATGAGAACTCTTGAATTCTTTATTTTGCACGAGTGTCACTTTTGTCATCTCCCTATACAGATAAACTAACACTGCACTCCCCCAGGATAACTCTCCACACTTCTCAATATCCTCAAGAAGTGGCAACCATCTCACATACACCGAATCCTTAGTGAAATCCGGTAATAGAACAATACCGATTAGATGGAGTATATACGCACGAGCATAGCTCTTGATGATCTCATCAGTCGCATCGATCGGTACATTCATGTAATTATTTCATAACCATTCGAGCTTGATCTTACCACCTTTCATAGTAGGAGCTTGACCCAACAATTGTTCACACTCTCCTATCTAGTTGAAGTCATCGGTGCCCGTAACAACGTCTCCATCCACTTTGAGGCCAAGTAAAAACCCAACATCCTGCAATGAAATCATCAATTCTCCTTGACGCAGGTGAAATGTATTTGTCTCGGGCCTCCACGCTGTCGAGAGAGCTCAATCAAGTCTTACCCATTTTATTTGTGAACACTCAAAAAAGCTTGCTTGACGAACATAATATTGGACCCGTGGATTCGTCAAATCCCAACTGGAATGTGCACGAGTATAATCAATAATAGTAATACTCGAGGTCTGCATATATTTAACAGGGTAAATGTTCAGTAAAAATCAATAACATTAAAAAATTGAAATGATTGAAAATAATAAAAATGTAATTTACCTCCCCAGCGTCTATCTTGGCGGATCTGTGTCGATCTTGGTCATAAAGGACCTCATATGTTAATGGACCCGCCTCCATACTGTAAATATCTGTACATATGATGATAAGATGTGTTAGTATTATGACATATGCTAAATTAAAAGTAGAATAAAATTACACATTTTATATCTAAGCATTGACTTACAAAGGAAGTAGAATAAAATTATAAATTAAATAAATTGTACACATTAATTTCTATATATTTGGATTGGTAGGACAATGAGATCTATTATGGCCCGGTTGTTTGCAATATTCACACCTATTTTTTTGGAGCTCCTTCCCGTCCTTCATCCATTGTACCTTTTATGCATACTGATCGCGGACGTCCGACTTGTCTCTTATATTCAAGAGGTCACACATGCAACCTTTTATAGGGTGGTTAGTAAGGAATATCTACAATAGGATGGAAACACTGCTTATATGAATCTCTATAGTGGCTTGATTGATACCACTCATAAGCGTATGTGTAATACGAAATATTTGCACCACCAAATTACTTGGACGTAACCGCTATAACATGTGAACATGACAATTTTTACAATTCTGGTATGTTACAAGTGCATGCGCATTGTGTCTCTCGTAAATTAACGGTGTAATTATGACCGTGTTTGTCTGTAACCTGCCATTCATCTACAGCAAATCTAACAATCTTCGTTGATCTCGCCTGCTTGACACGAGCTCCTACAATCTCTTTATTTTTTGGGTCAATAACGTAACCCACTTTGCACCATCCTCTCGCTGCTTGACAAAATAGTGATTAAGTCTATAAAATGTTCTCCCAACCAACGCATGTATGGGCATTGCTCAAGCCCCCTTAAGTACCATGTTGAAGCTTTCAGAACAATTAGTTGTCATCATGCAAAACCGATTCCCTCCATCTTTACTTAGTACCCACCGATCGCCATATTCACTTCCCAAACTACTCTCAATACAGTCATGTGTAGCTTAAGATGTTGTCTTGATTTGATCCCGTATCCGATCATACACACATGATTCGGGTGTACAACCTGCTTGCCAAAGAAGGTTTTGTAAATGTATCTAACCAAAGCTCTTTTTAAAATTAGCTTTAATGTGTTGTAAGCAATAGCGGTGATGGTGATGAGAGCCAAATCTCTTGTACAATGCTTTGGGAATACCTTTCATTCTATCGAATATAAAAGTAATTTCCCTAGGAGGCAACACATTAAAAATATATAATTGAATGCAGGAAAAAAACCACTCACAATTTTCACTATTCTCGACCTCCACAACTACGAAGGCTAAAGGAAATAAGCCACCATCTACATCTACTCCTGTAGTAACAAGAAATACACCCTTATATTTACCATATAGGTGTGTGCCATCAATGCTAAGAACCGACAGACAAAATTTAAATCCCTCGATCGAAGGACCAAATACACAAAATATAGAGGTGAATTGATGAACTCCATGATTGATCTCTTTGATTATGAGTTTGTATTTAAATCCATGATTGCTTCTTTTGATCGCATCAAGATATTGAGGTAGTGTCGCGTAAGACTTTTCCCAATCACCAAATATCTTTGTCATCACAATTCTCCTTGCATTCCATGCTTTACTATACGATGTTTCAATAAACTTCGTTCTAGCATTCTCTCAATTATATTACCGGGAGTTAGTTCAAGCTTCTTCTTTAATTTTGGCATAATCAACCGCGCTATGTAAGAGGCAGATACACCACTATGATTTTGCTCTAATATCAGATTGCTACATATGTGAACACCACGGTGTTCTGTGATTCTAAAATATCCATTATGTTTCTTTCAGGCAAATGTATATAACTTTCAAGGGCATGCGTAATAAGCTTCATTTTCCTTGCCCGACATTTCCTTTGTGTATTCATAAAACAAATTGCATCATAACTTGGCGATTGCTTTTAACATGCTTTAATTTGATATTCTTTTTGATTGAGTAATCACGAATAACATCAACCAATTGATCCTTAGTCTCGAATAAATCACCAACTCTTAAAGGGACGTAATCATCTCCTCTATGAGTTAAACTTTGGCCAATGTACATATTTTGTACTGTGGAAGAACAAACACACTCATCATCTTAAAAGTCGTTCGGCGGGGTCTTCGTACTCAACATATTTATTATTAACATAAGCCTCACCAAGCCAATCCAGATTCTCTTCAACATCTTCAGTCACAAATTGCATGCTGTCAATTGGTGCACTATCTTGCTCTTCACCTTCAGAGTCGTTGCTTCTTTCATCCTCTTCAATTATTACCCCTCTTAACACCCTTATATTTTCAAAAAGAACTTCATTGTTCATGACATTTGACGTTCCCACGAATGAAGGTGCACTTGGATATTGAAATTAAGTCCGCTCCATTTCACTCGAAAAAGAAAGAAAACCATTACGCTCAACTCCCAAATCTAACATGCGTGAGAATTTTCCTAAAGGTTTGAATATTTGGCACAAACTATATGGAAACTTTTCAATAAAAAATTCTACCGTTGGTTGTGACTTGCTCAAATTAAACATAATACTTATATGATGATCGTTTGAGATATCAACTGAGGACGTTCTATCTCAAGTTATGGGCCAATTGCATATTATTTTTAGTCGGTATTATCGTGGGTCAATTTCCATAACTCAGTGTATTTCCTTATCCAATCACAGTAATTATATGATTCTGAGATCATTAATAGTGTCGTTACCCCCTCCGACGTACATTGATATATTATTCATTCTATAATTAAATTTTCTACCATAAGAGCAAACAATAAAAATCATATTGTTCAACCTATGCAAAAGAAGATTATATCATTTAAATGTAAAAAAAATTAAAAAATATTATTAGGGTATCGAATAAGAGAGGAAAACCCAAGATGCAAATAATCTCATATAATTTTGACCAAAAATTCTAAACCCCAAATTGAAGATCCTAAACCCTAAAATTGAGCATTCTATAACCTAAAAGTTTAATTTCAATTACAACAATCAACACATAAAGCATTTGAACCACCACAAATAGAGTGGTTGATAATAAATTTCAAACCTTAGAAATTCATTTTGAGAGAAAACCCTAGATTTTTACATGTTAAAAGAGGAGAGAAGGAAGAAAAATTACCCTAGAGATCTTAAGCAACTTTCACGAAGAATTTAGGCCGCAAAATGGGGGTTAAGAGAGATGAGTTGCGGCTAAACGAGGGAGAGAGATCGGAGTTGGAGAAGAGAGATGTGGTTGTGAGAGAATGGTTTCAGTCAGTTTATATAGGGGGCGAGACCCAGAACAAGTAGTCGGGGTTGGCAACTCCGATTATTGTGTCACTTAGCCAATTTGCCACTTCCCCAACTTGGTGTTGGGCCACTCTCTGCTAAGTGGTCGGGGTAGGGAACCCCGACCATTTTGAAACAAAGTGGTCGGGGTAGGGAACCCCGACCATTTCAAATTAGGTGTTTCGAAATGGTCGGGGTTCCCAACCCCGACTAATTTAGCACACGCTAAATTAGTCGGGGTTTCGAACCTCGACAAATTTATCTGCCAAAATACAACAACGTAGCGGGCGAGATCCTAATTAGTAGGACCGTAATTTTTTTAAATCAACCCACTTTCTGGCCACGAGGTTGATGTGGTGAGAAAGTGAGTCGATTTTGATAATTAAGTTTGAAGTGGGTCGAATTTTGTTTTTGCTGGTATTTTTGTAGTTTTCAAGCTTTTAGGGTGTTTTCTGTAAATTTAAATTTTTTTAGGGAGTTTCTTGTAGGTTTTAAACTTTCAGCGTTATTTGTATGCTTTGAGTTTATAAGATGTTTTTACAATTTTTGAAAATTTTGAGGCTTTTTTTTGGTTTTAGAATGTTGGGTGTTGTTTGTAATTATCTATTTTACAAGGGGATCTTCGTAATTTTTTAATTGTTGGGGTTTTTTTGGTAAGTTTGATATTTTTTGGTCAGTTTGTAAAGATCTCCTAAAAATTTGTAAAAAGACCCTTAAAAATTTATATGTACAATACTATTATAGTTAAATGTGCATGTCATTTATTAGATGAGCGGTCATTTAGCAATTGCTAAATGGGTCACGGAAGTAAAATCTGTCGGCCCATTTATAGCCCATACGCACCTATTTAATGTCAGCCCTGCTCCAATCAAGCAATCAATGGAAAAACACAAAAGTGGGGGAAGAGATCAGGAGAGTGACGCGAACTTTATGCTTGCATCCTTCACCACAAACTTTCGCCTCCTACTCGCTTGTTTCTACATGAGATAAAGATATGATACGGATAAAGTAGTGGAAGGGAAGAATAATAAAATAAACATTAAGAAAAAGAAAAAAGAAATTAAGAGAGAAAGAGAGAACCAGTAGTAAGAGGTGATAGATGTCGGGTATTGATGAAATGCCATCACCTGCTGCTTCCAAAAGAAAACAGCTTGCCATGGAGAGGACCAGCGAATGGTTTTTTTTTTCTTTTCCCCTTCACCCTTTACTTCAATTATCTGCGCATGAAAATTTTCATTTTCTTTGAAAGAATGTAGGTAAAAAAATGGGTTACATCTTTAGCTATGCTATATGGGTTTTCAATTGTACTTCAGGATTGTGGCTGCTTCAGTGCAATATTCTTTGATTAGCTTTCCGTTCTTTACGTAGAGATTAATGCGATTGTAGCAAAGAGAGAGAGAGAGAGAGAGAGTACATAAGATTTGACGGAGAGGGTTCCTAATTTCTTTGATTCATGTAGGGTATTCTCCCAGGATATCCCCAGCGACATCACTGTTCAGGTTGGGGATGCTACTTTCTCCTTGCACAAGGTAAATTTGGTAGTAGCCGTCTTTTGTTGTGAATTTTTATTAATTTTTACCCCCCCTTTTTTTTTTATAATTGGTTGTTTACTTCAAACTTGATGCAACTCACAATACCCGTAATAAACTCTAGTAGTAGACAAGAACAGCTTGAGCACGAGTCTTAAACATTAGTTCTGGAGAAGTCAATTGAATTCTAACGGTTTAAGCACCCTTGTCACAGTCTCCCCTCTTGTCAAAATGCGGACACGTTAGGAAATTGCTTGGTGAAGCCCATGATTCGAACTCCCCACTCATTCAAATCCCACACGTTCCCGGTGGTGCTGAAGCGTTTGAGCTTGTTGCCAAGTTCTGTTATGGGGTTAGCTTTGAGATCGACACCGATAATATCGCGATGCTCCGGTGCGCGGCAGAATACCTTGGCATGACGGAGGACTATTCGGCTGGAAATCTAGTGAACAGAGCCGAAACATACTTGGAGAAGGTGGCTTTGGTGAGCATATCAGGCGCAGTCTCTGTTCTCCGAAAGTCGGAAGATCTACTTCCAGTATCAGAGAAAGTAAAGTTGACAAGCAGATGTATTGATGCAATAGCTTATCTGGCATGCGATGATAACCAGTTCTACTTGTCACTGAGGACTGACGATAATGGTCGAGAGAGTTTGAGTTTATCGTCAAGTTCACAGCGTAGGGCTGTGGTGGATTGGTGGGCAGAGGAGCTAGTGGTCTTAAGGATCGACACGTTTCAGAGGGTTTTAGTGGCTATGGAAGCTAGGGGGGTACAACAGTATGCTCTTGGTCCTGTTATTATGCTCTATGCTCAGAAATCTCTGCGAGGTTTGGTGAGTCGCTATACCAGCTTCGCTTGCTTATACCCCTTCTTCGTCATACAATTCTCTTTGAAGAAAGTTCATAATTAAATGTTCAATGAAATCCGCTTTCTTACATGATATTTATGTTTATCATGTCCCTTGCTTGAGAGGTGGGATGAATCGGACTTCCCTCCATTCTAACGTACATTCATTCTGATGTGAGGCTAAGTTGTTAATCTCTATGTTTCTGTATTTGTCATTCACAATCGTAGATATTAACTCCCAGGCTTTCTGAGACAATCTTTTGATGGTCATTGGTCCATAAGATGTTATTTACATGATAAATATGATGCAGGAAATTTTTGGGAGGGGTAGGGAGAAGATGGAGCCAAAACAAGAGCATGAAAGAAGAGTGGTGTTGGAGACAATTGTTGGTCTATTGCCAAGGGAAAGGAATGCGATGTCGGTGAGTTTTCTCTCAATGCTTCTGAGAGCATCTCTACATGTTGAGACAACTGTAGCATGCCGTCTTGATCTTGAAAAGAGGATAGCTTTACAGTTAGAACAGGCGGTGTTGGATGACCTCTTGATCCCTTCATTCTCCTTCGATGGTGATACTATATTCGATGTTGATACAGTTCAGAGGATTCTGATGAATTACCTTGATAATGAGGTTGATTGCAGTCGGTCTGATGATGAGTATGTCTCTCCGCCGCCTAGTAGTATCGAACGGGTTGGAAAGCTTATGGAGAACTATCTTGCTGAAATTGCGTCTGACCAGAATCTGACGATCTCGACTTTCATCAGCCTTGCAGAGCTACTTCCAGAACGAGCAAGGATTACTGAAGATGGCGTGTACAGAGCCATAGATATATACCTGAAGGTGATGATCAGATGAGTTTTTTTCTTTTTTTTTTCCATTAAAGGGTAAATTTCACAAACCCCCTCTAATGTTGGCTGTTTTTGAGATAATCCACCTAGACTTTTCACTTAAGCTCCCCATAAAATTTTGTCAGATAACCTCCCTAACACTGTTAGATGACTGTTCCCTGTGAAAATCAAGTGAGCGCAAATGACGAAAAAAAAAACTTTTCAAGTCCTTTTTGATATATTTGAAGGCAATTTTGGCAAATCCCTTAAAGGTTAGTCCAATTTATGGATTTAATTAATGATTGATTTTATTTTATTTAATAATTGAAGTGTTAATTTGAAAGTGATTAACACCATTAGGGGGGTCAGTTGAAAATTTTGAAAATCGTTTGATTATTCTGAAAAACACCTCGCAAAACTTAAGAACGGTAATGTTTTTTTGTTTGGGGTGTTGGTGTTGGGGGGGGGGGGGCGGGCGGGAATCAGGGGGGGGGGCGCTAACTTAAGGGGTCTTGTGAAATTTAATAATTTCTAAAGCATTCGTATAACATTTCCCCCCACTTTTTTGAATAACTTGCAGGCCTCATCCATCTTTGAGTGACATGGAGAGGAAAGGTCTGCAGCATGAATGGACTGCCCAGAAGCTCTCATCAGAGAGGCTTGCGCTCACGCGCCGGCATGACAGGCTCCCTGTACAAGTAGTTGTCCAGGTGCTTTACTATGAGCAGCAACGCTTTCGTGATTCTATGACTGGAAACTTCACTGGTGGAGATTCTCCGGCGTTATCCCATAAAACTTCTCCGTATAGCATCGGTTATCAGAATCAAATGGATGAGCTCAATCGGTTGCGAAGAGAGAACGATGACCTGAAGCTTGAACTGGTGAAAACACGGATGCAATTAAAAGAGCTGCAAAAGACTTCAGGGAACTCATCAAATGCTGCGAAACCTCCATTGCCGAAGAAATCGATCATTAATTCCGTGTCGAAAAAGCTTGGTCGTCTTAACCTCTTCGTTCGGCCTGATGCTATCAAGCCTTTCTCAGGCAAAGCTCGGACAAAGCCACCCAAAAACCGGAGACACTCTATATCCTGAAATATCATTTTGTGGTAGACCTTGTGAAAATATTCGCTTCCTAAAGCGGTCAGGTCAGCACATGTCGAACATCATTCTAGTAAATATAATGTAAATTTCCTTAGTTTTGTATTTTATATGTTTTAGCATTGAGCTAGAATATTTTTCTGTCAATAATTGATGCTCTTAATTACTTTCGTACATATTACAGACCTAGTTCCTTATCCTATAGCATTGCACAGTATTTCTCTTTACTAAGAACATGTCTCAATTGTCGCCATATTCTTCTTCTGTATGAAGTTATTTTTCATATTTATCTAAGGTTTAAATAAATTATGAAAGCCTAAACAAAGCAATTATTTGGAGTATTTGGAAATTTAGGGAGGAATTTGGATGTGTCGATGGAGCCATTAAGTGTCTTCAACCGAGTTATAATTAAGATGGAGAAGGTGCATCTCTGAGAGTTAAACTGCCAGTAGCTCTTTGGAGTGGCGAATTTGTGCATCACTGAGTATAAACTGATATGAAGTTGCACGTCAAATTTATAGAGCTCTCTGGCGCTGTGCGAGGCTTTGGATTAGCATACAACTATACAAAACACAAGCGCTTATCCTTGAATTAGAATTCCGTGGGCAGACTAAATTCACATGTTTGGTGTTGAAACTAGCGGTTGAGTTCGGCCTAACAAAAATCATGTTGAGATCAGGTGAAGACCAAACCTCAGCAGGCGAGCACGATGTCGAGGCGGATCAGAGGCGAGCTCAAGGCGAGTTCGAGATCAGCGGCTTCAGGCGGATCCATCGCAGGCGAGCTCGAGATCCAGAGCTGCAGGCGAGCGTGGCTAGAGACGAATTTCGTGGCTGGCGGATTTTGCACAGGCGACTTCGTCATCCGCCCGCAAGCGAGATCGCGCATGACTGGCGACAGCTTGTCGCCAGCCCTAGGGTTCCCCCTATAAAAGGGAACCGAAACCCTAGCCAAAAGTGTGCCGAAGTTTCCCCCCCTTTTCTCTCGCGATCAAGCTCCTGGCGACGGACAAAAAAAACGCAGCAGCGTTTTTCTCTCTCTTCTCCTTTCGTGATCTTTCTGCTCACAGTTTGTTGAGGGAAATTATTGTGGGAATATTCTCTATTGAAACGGGTATTAAAGAAGAGGGGAATCTTCACTGTAGCTATAGTAAAAGATTGTATTTATTGAGGAATCTCAAGTTTGAGATTCGCTCTTGAATTGTAATTTCTTGTTAGATTAATAAGAAATTGATTGTGACTCCCGAGAACGTAGGCAGTTGCCAAACCTCGTTAAAACTTGGTGTACTTTTTTTATTCTGCGTTTCTGTTGTATTAGGGATTTCGGCGATAAATTCCCAACAACTGGTATCAGAGCGTGAAACGATCTAGAGGAAGTCAGATTCAAGTGGGAGCCATGGCCGCAGATGAAGGAAAAATGAGACTTGAGAAGTTTGATGGAACAGATTTCGGATTCTAGAAAATGCAAATAGAGGATTATCTGTATCAGAAAAATCTGTATCAACCACTATCGGGGAAGAAGCCAGATTCTATGAAGGCAGATGAGTGGAGCCTTCTAGACAGACAAGCCATTGGAGTTATCAGATTGACGTTGACTCGTAATGTTACGTTCAACATAGGGAAGGAGAAGACCACGGCTGGTCTTATGGCAACACTCTCAAACATGTATGAGAAGCCATCAGCCGCGAACAAAGTTCATTTGATGCGGCGGTTATTCAATCTGAGAATGACGGAAGGCGCGTCAGTAGCACAACACCTCAATGAACTCAACACGGTCACGACCCAATTGAGTTCAGTTGAAATTGAGTTTGATGAAGAAGTTCGGGCGTTGATACTTTTGTCCTCCCTACCAAAAAGCTGGAACGCTACAGTCACAGCAGTGAGTAGCTCGTCGGGAAGCACTAAGTTGATGTTCGACGACGTTCGTGATCTGGTTCTCAGTGAGGAGATCCGACGGAGAGAGTCGGGTGAAACTACAACCTCTTCAGTATTGCATACAGAGTCAAGAGGTAGAAATTCAACCAGAGGGAACGGACGAGGCAAATCAAACTACAGAGGTAGATCAAAGGACAGGAGGTCCAAGTCAAGGAATCCAAGCAACAGCTCGAAGGCTATCGAGTGTTGGAATTGTGGAAAGACCGGGCATTACAAGAATCATTGCAAGAGTGCACAGAAGGAGAAGGAAACGAAGGCAGAGGTGAATGTCACTGTTTTCGGAAAAAGTTACCTTCATTGTCGAATTCATTATAATATAGATTGCTTACAAAGAATTCAAAGTATTCAAAATAAAGAATGAAAGATTACAACTTTTTAAAAATAACGCAAGATCCGTTCGTCGTCTCTTGCTTGCGTGGGTCTTTAGCAGGTGATGGGGACGTCGATATCCGTGGACTACCTGACAATCAGATCAGATCTAGAACTCCGTCGATTCGTGAAGGAATCTAGAAGCAGAAGCGCTTATCTCGGCAACGGCGAGATAATTGCTCTTCTTAGAATTATCGCAACGGGATAATTCTAAGGATTGGATGCGGGCGGTGCAGATCTGAAGAAGCTTTCTCTCTTGTGTTGATGAACTCGATCAATCTTCAATCCGGCAGGGCTTCGCCAATTCTCCAAAAATCCAGATCCGGAAAAATGAGGGTCTAAGGCTTGTATTTATAGGCTTGAGGGGGTTCCGGGCGGTTAAAACCGCGTAACGGACAGATCTGGGGTTGGAGACACCCTTGGGTGTCTCAACCTGGGCCGAGACACCCAAGGGTGTCTCGTTTGGGCCGAGACACCTCGGGTGCCCCAGTTCAGCCTGAGACGCTCCGTTATGCCTGTTTGTTCGTTTTCGCCGTAACTTCTTCATTCGAACTCGGATTTGAACGATTCAAAGTGCATTGGAAAGCCGATGAGGAGTTCTATAAGCTCCGATGATTAGATCATCAGTTGAACAAATGAGACACGAAGGGTATTTCGCCGTTTGTGAACGATGCGAGGTTCCCGGTCAGTTTGCGTCTTTGTTGCTCTGAAATTCTGTTGGTTTACGTAGTTCGTCGATTAACTTCAAGCGTTCACCGACGTCAATCAAACTTATGTGAACCGGATAGTGATGTTCATCGTCGTTTCTTAGCACTGAGCTGTTCGTGGAGACCTATAGGCAATTTTCGATGCCTACAGATACCCCCTCCAAAGCGTTCCAGACTCGTTTCTTTTATAGAAGAGGCTGGAATACTTTGGATATGATTGGTCCAGCCTTTGATCGGTGTAAAGGACCTGTGATTAGCTTCAATTCTTGACTCCTTCGATTTTCAATCCATTTGATGCTTTGACGAATAGCTGAAGTTCTTTCGGCGTCGCGTTTATCGCCTGGCCGTCGTCGAAGTCTCAAATCTAAAACTGATGAGTTGAGTTTTGGCTCGTGTCGTCGAGTTGACTTTGAACTGACTACCTCTGTCATGATATATTGACTCGCGTTGACCTTTTAATCGCAACGCGTTGACTGTCGTTGACCTAGGGTTACGCGTTGACTGGCGTTGACCTTAGGGTTTCGAACGTTGTACGTTGACTTTTTGGTTGCAACGCGTTGACTGGTATTGACCTAGGGTTACGCGTTGACCGGCGTTGACCCTAGGGTTTCGAACGTCGTACATTGACTTTTTGGTCGCAACGCGTTGACTCGCGTTGACCTAGGGTTACGCATTGACCGGCGTTGACCCTAGGGTTTCGCACGTCGTACGTTGACTTTTCGGTCGCAACGCGTTGACTGACGTTGACCTAGGGTTACGCGTTGACCGGCGTTGACCCTAGGGTTTCGAACGTCGTACGTTGACTTTTTGGTCGCAACGCGTTGACTGGCGTTGACCTAGGGTTTCGAACGTCGTACGTTGACTTTTTGGTCGCAACGCGTTGACTGGCGTTGACCTAGGGTTACGCGTTGACCAGCGTTGACCCTAGGGTTTCGCACGTCGTACGTTGACTTTTTGGTCGCAACGCGTTGACTGGCGTTGACCTAGGGTTACGCGTTGACCATAGGGTTTTGAACGTCGTACGTTGACTTTTCAGTCGTAACGCGTTGACTGGCGTTGATCTAGGATTACGTGTTGATCCTAGGGTTTCGAACGTCGTACGTTGACTTTTCGGTCGCAACGCGTTGACTGGCGTTGACCTAGGGTTACGCGTTGACCGGCGTTGACCATAGGGTTTCGAATGTCGTACGTTGACTTTTTGGTCGCAACGCGTTGACTGGCGTTGACATAGGGTTTTGAACGTCGTACGTTGACTTTTTGGTCGCAACGCGTTGACTGGCGTTGACTGGCGTTGACCTAGGGTTACGCGTTGACCGGCGTTGACCCTAGGGTTTTGCACGTCGTACGTTGACTTTTTGGTCGCAACGCGTTGACTGGCATTGACCTAGGGTTACACATTGACCGGCGTTGACCCTAGGGTTTCGAACGTCGTACGTTGACTTTTCGGTCGCAACGCGTTGACTGGCGTTGACCTAGGGTTACGTGTTGACCAGCGTTGACCCTAGGGGTTCGAACGTCGTACGTTGACTTTTTGGTCGCTATGCTGGCTGAGCAGGCCACCAAAGAGGCTGCAGGATCACCCTTTGAGAGTGATTCGTCCGCAGGTATATATCTAATTCCCTTCATTTTGCCCGATCTATTATTCGACTGACAAAGAATTATCATCACAGTACCAGTCACTGGGACTGATTCAGTCGTGATTCCCGGTGTCTCTTGTTTACCCCAGCGTGATGGACCTGCAGGTATGCATATAATCTAGGTCGCCGCGCTCCTTTTCATTTGTTTGATTTTTTTTTGACTAATGGAGGGGTGCAATCATAGGACCAGCCATCAGGACTGATACTCTTATGACTCTTGGCGTTTCCCATTTACCTGCGGATGATGGACTTGCAAGTATGCAGATAATCCTATCATCGCGATTCTCCTTATTTGTCTAAATTTTCATTTGACTAATAAAGAAGTGTAACTATAGGACCAGCCATTATGACCGATGCAGCTACAGCTTTTGGGATCGCTAGCTTTCCTAACAGTGGTGTCTCCTCGCCACAGCCGAGAGGTACTACCGATTTACCCACAGAGGTTGATATACCCTCAACGAGCACCCCTGTTGTTATCTCGGAGCCTGCTGAGACTAGACCAACGGAGCCGATCGTCAGACCTCAATCTGCAAGGACTTCTATTGGTATTGATAT